AGATTCCTGCGAGACAATGACCAACACAAAGCAGGGGGGGTTCTCTCCGTCTAATACCTTGCTGCATATGTTAAGGAAAGTTTGTCTCAATGGGGCACTTCAACGATTCCACTGAAAATGCTATAAAGTGTACTGTTCCTATAGTTTGGCAACCAGAATTAGAAGCCATTCCTGCGGTGGTACAATGATCGTGAACAGGTGGTACGCGCGCGTTACATGCCTCTTCGACCAAACAGGGTGTCGTGATTTGCCAAATGAACGCGCACGTCAAGCTGAATAATGTGCCCGTGAGTGCGGCGCCACCGCAGTTATGGCGTCTAATCGGACAAGTCTATTATGATGCATATTGCAATATTTATGTTAATGTAAAACGGGAATCAGATGTGCTGAAACATTAGACGCGGACCTGAATGTCGTGGAACTGCGGCGCTCGGATGTCCCATCATTGTGGTGAAACAATCGGAACAAAATAAATATCTGCTTTTTGTGCATGGTGTCTTAACCATTCCAGCTAAAACAGGAACGCCATCGACACAGTCGTCCAATGGACGCATTTCTGGCTACACATTATCCAACCATAATCAGTTTTACCAGTTTTAAAAATGAGGATGTTTTTCTAATGTCCTCTTATGTAGTCAATAATTTTATACATGGTGCCGTTTTCAAACTTTTGATGGAAATCAATGTTGTGACATAAAGACAAAATATCTGATTTTCTCTGTCCTCCGTTCAATTCAATAATTATTAATTTTCATGCACTCACCCACACAGGCGTAACTGATCGTACTGCTTACCGTCATACTGTCGACACTAATGAATTTTCAAACGATCACTCGCACACTAATCCATCAAGCCAAGCAGGCTATAGGCATCTATATTATTCCGCCAACAGGTACATCGAGCTTGCCGGCTACTCAGACCGTGCATTCCCGCATAACAGGTGTTGCAATTGAGCTTGGTCGATAGGCGAGCCCTTTCGTTTACTGGGTAAATATTATACTGCAATTTTAATGACGCTTACACTTGGGACAATCTCTCATGTCATGCCTCTAAGCCTACATGAACTTCATCATCCAACGATGGATGTGACTGGCGTATCTTCACTCAAACGGGAGGGGGTGAATTCCAGCAAACAGGAAGCAAGCGGGATTTGAAGTCTTTGCTCCATCCAAGGGCACCGTGGCGATTGCATGCTTTCCTTAAGCCCACATTGGCAGTACAAGTAACCTACAATGCTTTGCGATTCCTTTACAACATGCAACAGAATTGGTTACGGCCTAAAATAACGAATGCGCCCGAGGAGGTCCACTATACATGTATTAGCGATCGTATCCGCTCACAGTGCTGGTCAGAGATCAGCCAAAACGATTTCCCATACAGGGTGTATGAAAATCATACTGAAGTCGGAGATTGAACCCCATTAACGTCAACGATTAAAGGACCAGTAAATAAGCCGCCATAGACAAAAAAATACCCCCCATTTAAGAAAACTTCAGGAAAACCACAAATTTCTCAGACGTACAAAGCACGCACCAAATTAACACCTTTCTCAAAGTTTGAGGAACTTCTCAACTTCCTGGTTCTCTTCAATTTTTGCTTGGTTAACCAATTCTTTTTTTAATTATATTTCCATCCTCTGATGACCACCCCTAAAATGAAGCCTATCACCATTACGAATCTGATGCTGGCACTCTATTGGAACACAGAGCCATTTGCAAGGTTCCGTTTTGTCTAAATTTCTCAAAAATACAACCTGGAAGTGTCCTGTTGGTGGCTTCCGCCCTTCTGTTTTAAAACCCCTCCAGTTCAAGGGCCACACAAAATGCTATGATAGAGCTGGGAAGTCAACCTAATGGACGGCGAGATGGGCACAAATGAATGCAGCAGTGGGGTGGTCAGCATTTTGTAGTACATGCATACAATTACACACAACCACAGTTTCAAATCAAACTCGCCGACTGATGTCCAAAAGCTAGCACGCTACAAAATTAGGTATGGTTATGTTCTGATAGGCCCACAGGTTAACCCACCAGGAATAGGATAGGAATCAACCTCCCTCCGAGGATAGTCCGAGCACGCAGCGGTCATCAAGAAATTATAATTCGACTGCATGCAGTTCAGGCATCCACACAATAATTACAAACACATGGGAGAGAGGAAATACAGATATCGCAAAATGAACTTCAGAGAATCTATAAGGTTTCCTCTTACAGGTCCTCCGACCCATGCCTGGTTGGAATATGACACAAGCATCGATATTGCCCACTCATTTTCAATTACCATACGCATCTACAGTAGTGAGCGAAGACCAGGATGCCTTGTGCTCAAGTTAATAAAACACCGTTTGTCAAGCACAACCCCAGACGATTGTTTGAGATGCGCCACAAAAGCAAGCTTGGCGTGGACTCGAGAAAAGAAAGTTAACAGGGCGAAGAAATTCCAAGTTTCAGCATGAGCTGTTCACAAAGTTTCCACAAAATCAAGTTACTACAATAACTATTACAATATGCGACCGAGTCTAGAGCTCACATTCAGATATACGGCACTCGGCGCAGTCTAGACATGTTTGGAAATTCTACGAATATCTTGCGATGTTTTCCCCAAACAATAAAATATTAAATATAAATCAACTTTCGAAGACAAAATGTTATACTGTTGTCCCGTCTCTGTGCGCAGCGATAAGTTGGGTCGCTTGTTATATGCTCACAACCGTGGCGCGAATTTGTGCTGGCGAGATAGGGATGCAGGATGTTCAAAAACTCTAATAATCCCCACCCTGGATAGTCGAGAGGTGGGGTGCATGGACACTTCACTATTCAGGGAGCGCTATGTATGATACAGATGTACACCTGTATTGATATCTGCGAGCTTTCTTGCCTCGTCTTGGAGCAAGCATAATCAAAATGGCCCGTCCCCGTTATAGGTTTGGAGAGAGACGCGAACCCAGGCACAGGCTACATTCAAATCTCTGCTTCGAAAGCATCATACATTTACATGTACTGCGCACCCACGGAAGACGTTGAAGACACCCCCCCCCCCCAAAAAAAACAATCACCACATCCTGGCCTTGCGGAATTTTCACGCGTCACCGTGCGCTAACGTCCGGATTTGGGAGGTGGGCGAAATTGCCTCAACGCTTTTCTCGGGCTCCGATTTTCCGTCTGCGAAACAACAAATTAATTAATCACACAGGACTGATGGATGGGAAAACAAAAGAGTCAGGGCAATGACTCAGCCTGACGAGTTTAGAGCACTTAGGCGACGGTCACGGTCAGCTGTGGGAGGCAAGAAACCAAATTTGCCATACTGGCAGTCTTCCGCTAAGTCGCACTGTAATTATCCAATATATGCACTGTTTAATCTCGTGGGGTCCGATCGGCTTCCTGACGTCAGATACTTGACGCTTCTCTCTCTCTCTCTGTCAATTAATGAACACGAGAACTACTGCCGACCATTCCCTACAAACGTCACCAAACGTATCTTACCTACGGAGAATATACTGCAGGCATTCGTCTTTCGGCCGTTAGGTTGGCAACTGGCTGTTGGTGGAATCGAACCTTGTAGTGCACGTTTCACGTGATATATAGTGAAGAAAAAACCCAAAACGCTTCCTTTTACAAAGCAGAGAATTCATAAGCACGCGAGTACTGAAAAACGATACAGCATTGAGTTGTTAGATGATAGACTTTCTCATCAGGAACGCAGCGGGGAAGAAAAGGCCCCAGGCAATATTCATAGAAATGTCAATAAAACATTAGTGTTTACAAATGTCACATAGGTAACATCGAACTATCATATTCATGTTCACCAGATCAGATCAGAGACCCTGTTGCGCTTGGCAAACTTGGATAATTGTTCGACAACAATGAAATGCCGTTTGAAGTGCCATTAACATGAACTCAAACTTGGCGCGGGAGCTGGGCGGTGTAAGTTCAAGCATTTTTCAACTGATTCTTCACATGATTATTGCAAGTTTTTTGGGTTTTTTTATTGTCCCTGTACTGAAAGGTTGAGTTATTTGCGCTTAGATTTATTACTGGCACCAAAGTCCGGCAACACTGCTCCAAGCTTTGACATCAAAGCTGCAATAACAGGAAGCGCACGGGTTGTGCAGAGAAATATATGTGCCTTTGCTCTTGAGTTTGACTTTTAACAACAAAAAAACAAAAAAACAGGACAACCGAAGTCCGTGGGTGGACCCGAAGGACTAGCCATGGAAACCATGGAAAACACTTTTGCTTCTCTTGGCACCCTGAAAGTCATTGTCGACCTAATTTTCAAGTCTCCCTTAACAGTACACTATGTGAACACATTATGCGCGAGGGAGATCAAGATCAAATCCATTCACATAGACGATTTTTTCCCCCTAAAATCTGGCTCCGTTTTGTACCAAAAAAAAAAACATCCTGGGCAATGCTGTTTTTTAAAAGACATCGGTGAACTCAAATAAACGATGATCAGGTTATACAGGAGACTTGCGAATTGATGAAAGAAAATATTCTTTGATCTGCTAAGGAAGTAGACTGCAACTACATGTACTTCATGTCTCGACTGTTACATGCCAATATGCCGTGTCTCCATTCAATTTCTGTGCAGCCTAAATTCACTGCAAATGGGCTCCTCTGACCCCCCTCCCCACAAAAAAAGGACCGCTTCACAAGGCGTTAGTTTTACAACCGATTTTAATCAGTAGGAAGACGCCTTTCTAATTCTGAAGTCTGCCAATTCAACTTGTGTATATACAATAAAGTCAGTTTTGACTGTGTCGTATGGGATGAAAACTCAAGATGTTGGAGTCATGAGCCACACACATGGCACCTACACTCTAAGTGTTCATCCAATGGTCTCGTGCACAGCCTTCTGCAAGGCATCACATCATGTCAACATTTCTCTACAAAATTAAAATTTCCCACTTCGTTCGGGGGAATCAGGTTGGAACAGCAGCATCTCTTGGCCGCCTACCTCTTTTAACCGGGTTCAAATCCAATTTAAACTGACATGTGGATTGGGTTATTGGCTCCTACCTGAGTGTGTTGGTTTGACCTACGATATTGACCTCAATTATTCCTTTTATCTCTAAAACTGAATATTTCTTCACTGTCTTCATGTTCCTTGCTGACTGATAGGGCTTCTCTGGTGAAAAAAATGGAATAAAGTTTAATAAAGAAAAATGATATAATGCAATGGCATAAGGCACCATCCATGTTTTGTTCCTACTGCTTCACCTCAAACCAAATCTCATCAAAGCTGAAACACGAATTTGAAACAATACTTTCACTTTATTGCACCAAACAATATTTAACAAAACCTTTTTTTTTACTCTTGTGTGAAGTCCTGTGACATGCCAAAGGCAGCATCCCCGATATTGTAATCCAACAGTCTGATGTTGTCCTTGATCTCGTATGTGATGATGCAGTTTGCCTGGGCTGCACCATTTGAGTATAGGGAGAGCTGGTAGACGTCATTAGTGCCTTCCACTCCTAAATTAGAAATGTAAGATTTTCAAGCGATACACATTGATAAATAAAATGATCTAAAACTGGCAACAATGAGGACTAGGGCTGGGCTGGGCCCACTGATGATGGCCACCCCGTAATCAGGGATGAGGAGTCGGGTCGGCATGGTGCTTCTTTCCCCGCCTTCCATCTCGGCGGCCCGGGTTTGATTCCCGGCTCGGTCCACAAGTGGATTGGGCTTTCAGTCCTTGCCTGATTTTGTAGGTTTTACCCGAAACATTCCCCTGGGGTTTTCCTCCCACCGTTGGAACTTCAAGGTCGTCTCATTGTTGTTAATTCATATAAGAAATCCCCGAAAAAGGTTGGAAACTCTGATTTACCTATGTACACCATGTTTCCAAGCCCCTTTTTCCAACTGGGACAAGAAATACTTTTCCAAATAGTGGAATCTCATGGCATAAAAGTCAGAGGTTTCAGGTGAAGCAGGACGCTTTCATTGAAGTTCTAATATGCTTCCAGTTCTAACTATTCCCTAATTCAGTTCTTGCAGCAGTTTTTTCCTCCAAATTGTGACTTGTTTCAAACAACTGTTTTGCAAAATTGAGTACCACCGAGCCCACTAATTCATCGTTTACAAGTGAGGACAAAAACGTGGTAACTGATGCATAAAAATGTCTTAGCAGTGCAGCAAAGTGCCTTTTTAACCCTAACACTCCTCAATCCTTCACCTGTTGGAGGACTGAGGAGTGTTAGGGTTAAAGACTGAATGTGTGCATTTATGGTGAGACAACAGAAAAGAAATGACATCTCCTTGGAAAAGTCAACAGACATCCGTGACCTTCTCACTGAGCAATTGTCCTGGCCATCAGAATTAGACAGAGCTTGGCTCTAAAATTTACTGCATGGCTCAGAAAATTAAGCAAGCCCGGTCTCCCAGATGGAGGGGGGGTTGGTCTGCAATTGGATAAAGCCATGGATACAAATATAAACTGTAGACGAGGTTAATCGTAAATGTCATGTGCCCCTACTCTCACCTGAAATCTGTAGCACTGTGGGGAGGAAGCCTCGGTATACATGTTCAAGGGCCACCTCTCCCGCGCTGGTTGTTGTGGTGACGGATGCTATTAATAGGCATCGCTGGTTGCTGTCCTGTGTTAATGTTTGACTCTTGGTTCTAGGGTAAAAAGAAATGAAGACAAGAAAAGTGCAATTCAGTGCATCTTGATGAATATGAAAGACCCCCTCTCCATGTCATGCACTTTGTGGCCTTTTCTGTATGGACATCCATTTGCTATGTTCTACTGTACAATTTCCCTGAACAATCTCCTCACATTATGCCGACAGACCACGACGCACGCTGAAATCTTGTTTATGAAATGATGCGTTATGTGCTGCTATTCACGATCAAAATATACATGTACACTGTGTGTATATTTGCCTGTTTATGTGCCTTAATCTGATATGTACAATGTAGATGTTGTTTTTCCAATTTCACTATTTTCACTGCCATTCTGTTCACTGGAAAGTTAATTGAACGGGGAGGGGTTAATCCACTGGCCTGTCTTGTGGCTTGTCCAAAAGGTGGGGCCCCATCTCCCCCCCCCCATTTATACCCATGATGATAAAACTATTGACAATATCCACACCAGTGTGAGCACCTTGTTGTTGGGCTGACATACAAGTTACAACAGCTACGAGTCCAGGTTCCTTTCCTTCAAGGTGGATCAAGGTGGGGGTTAATGCCATTACACCACAAACACTTGTCACTGTCAACAGTCACAATCCACCTCAAACTGAGAAGTCCCTTTTCAATTTCAATAAATGGTGTGTATTATCAGCATTATTATGTATCAATGCCATCTCCTAACACTTTGGTAATATAAAGGTATGCCAGGTGTGACTTTTGTACATATTTGGTGGGAACGGGAAGGGTTAAAACTCATTAACGAAGGCAACTAATTATCTGTTTTAAAATGCTGAAAAAGGTAGTTTTCTTCAATGTTGAGGAAAATGTTGTTTGTAACTGCAAAAACCATTAAAGGTGACCTACAGTCAAGACAAATATGTGCTTAAAGTCAGACTTTTTACAAATTGGGATTTTTTTATTTCTGGATATTGCATACCTAGAGTTTTCAATCGGTTTATGCATAGGGTACTGGGTTCAGAGCTGAAATCATTCAAGGTATTTTCAAGGGTCCTATATACCTTGTTTTCAAGCTTTTAAAGAGATGTATTGTTTGAGCATCAAGGGCTGTTAGTGATTTTCAGATATCCTGTACACTGCAATGACATTACTGCAGAAAACATTCTCTTCTAAGGCTGAGTCAATTCGCGTAATTCACTATCCAAATATTTGACCTTCAATTTGATCAAATATCTGAATATTCCATCTTACCGACTGGCAGACTGTTGATGATTAAACCATATACAAAATCAGTTGCAAAAATGCACACAATGTACATTATAACCTTTGCAATAGTTTCTAATGTCTAGAAGTTCCAGCCATGATTTAGCAAGATCTTAGAGACGAACACTACTTCTTGCTCTGTAGAAAATTTGTATTCCTATACAATTTCTTAATGAATAAGTTCCTTTTTGAGTCGTAAGATTTCTGTCTCTTTTCATTTAAATCTGCTTGAAACTAGCCTCCATAGTGCAATTTTTTTCATTTTAAACAAAAGAAACTTCTCCCTTCCTTTTTATGAATTATTCATTTGAATATTCAAATTTGGAAAATAATATTGAAATATTCAATAATTGATCAAATATTCAATTATTTGCCACATCCCTATTCTCCTCCCATAAACAAGCACTATTACCCACCCTATATCTTTCAGACTTAAGGAAAACTGGGGTAGGTATACAAGACATGAACAGAAGTCCAGAACTCATATCAGGTGAACCAAACCTAAACCTTTACACTTTGCAGTCGAATTTATAGGCAAGAGAATTGGAAATCTGGCAATAAACAAATCTTAGAATAGTATTTTCATATTTTTAGGGGGGGCGTAAGGGTGAAGAAGTAAACAAGCTAGCCAAACTGTACCCTTGTGGCCAGTGAATCTTGATTAACCCATAACCTGGGATCTGCTTGAGGAGATTATTTCACAATGTGCATCCCTCAGGGGGGCTGGTGACAGGATCAAGGACAGTTCATCGAAGTCACCAGCAGAGTTTGAGGGGAAGTAGTGGCAACAAGTCAAGAGCCAGGAAGGCAAATCACATCTTACAGGAAATCTGAAATTGAAGATCCAGGTTCTCAAAACAAATAATCAAGGAACCTGGATTTTAAACCCAGGAACGCAATTTTAAACCAAAAAAATTCAAAGAAACGACTTAACCTGCTTTAAAATGAGTTGAGAAAACAGCTTAATGTGCATAATTTGGCAACAGAAGACTCCAACACAAACAATCTACTTTGGGGAAATTTAAACCAAATTTGACTAAGTCACAGCACATTTACTCACAAAGGAAATATCACACCAGCAGTCACAGACTGAGACATCTGAGATGTGCGGTGGTGGCAAACATACCAGTCCCTATCTGACCATTCTAACATTATGCCTGTTTCACTCTGAGCATGCATGTATCAGCTCAAGCATGACACAAACGACACCAGACTGGCCACTCTATACCAATATACACAGCTAGTTTGTATTTGTCACATCTTCTACGAAACTGTCAAAAAAAACTGTTTAAAGTGTAACAGCTTATTCATATACATGTATCTCTCCTGCGTAGCGCCCTCGCTTGACTTCTTAGGTGAACCACATACACTCAGTCTCTGTCTTGTTAGAGTCGTTTTTATTCTTAGTACCACCAGTCCTTTCGTTTGAAGGCGTGCGATTGCACTCCCACGCCATCACACACCTAAAAGCTTCCCGAGAAGTGCAAATAATTGCATGCCGGAAACCGTCCGTACTGCACTCCTCGGAATGAGTTTACTTTATAATTATAAATGTACTTCGCAATTTTTGAGAAAAATGAAACGAAAAGAATCAAACATTAGGCCTACCTAACAATTAGTAATGACGGAATTATTTTTGATTCTGCCTGCGAAACAGTTTTGCATGACAACTATGTCAGCACACCCACGTTGCACGGCGGTGCCAGCATGGCTGCATGCATAATGCTACATGTACATACACCAGACTGTACATACATGTAGATTTATGAGCTTGTACACGTCACGCAGTGCCACGAGATCACACCACTTCTCAGTCAGATTTTTCCAATGAATGCCCTGATTATGCCAAGTAAGTTGTTCCGATCACGACAACGGCATTTTTAGGGAAAAAAAAATATCTGGGCTTTTACTCCCATCTGCAATCTCCAGAAGTGGACAAGCTTTCATGATGCAGGCTCCCGCGCCCTACCCGTAGTAAACCAACAAATTCCTTTGAAGTTGAGCACGGGTCCAGACCAGTCAATCATGATGCACCACGTACATGTAGTGTGTGAAAGCCATGGAGAGATCACGCCAGCGTGGATCGCAGCAGATCTTTCTGTGCAGACACGTAAACCTGATGTTTCCGAATAAAAATGTTAGTGTTATGAATGGAAACTCACAGGAAAGAGATTTGGCGAAGAGAAACCTCAGTAAAATCAGGAGATTTACTGGAAAACTTAATGGAGAATATTAAAGTGATCTTGTGGCTTAGTCGCAGGACCTCTGCATGGTCCGTTGAGGCTACTATTATGGAAAAGGCAGGATTTTATGGCCACCATAAAACTTTGATTCTTTTTACAAGTATTGGATATACCGGTATCCCTTCCAGTTTGCTTCAAGTAATCAGGTGTAATCTGAAACTGTTGCACTATTTTTTGTTGGTTTTTGTTGATTGTTTATATGTAATGTTGACCCAATTTTATCTTTGTATTTTACTGTGTCTTGACTGACCCAAGGTTTTAATTCATTGTTCAAAATCACACTCCTAGAAAAATTGCACGCCTGGAAATGTCCAGGAGTGTTTTTTTCGCACGCATGCTATTTCCAAATCACACGGACTGTACCACTAAACACCACTGTCCAATTGTAAAGGAGCAGCCGTTGTGAAAAGCCACGATCGTTCTCTCGCAAGAATTATGAACACCGCTTCTACACGGAGCTCTCTGACATCCTTATTACTTTGTTCCTGAACCTCAAGATTAATTGGAAGACTGAAGTGTTTTTACTTTCTTTCCTTCTTTCACTGGGTTTTTGAGATGCAGCTACACGATAAGGAACCAGAACCTACAATGTACACGTCTTTCTGTAGAGCTACATTTTCTCGGAGTCACAGTAATTTACAGTTCCTCCAGTGTTTGCAGGTAAACTATTGTTCAAGATTAATAAACTCACTCCCCTTAGTAAAGCAGAAATACTCTTGTGGCAAGACTCTCAGAGACAGGAACACAAAATTCCCTTTTTCCCCTATTTTTCTCCCATTTACAATTCCTTTAAAACCTAATAATTACAAAGGTACAAATAATCTAGGGAAAAAAGGAGAGAAAAATTTTGTTTGCCTTATATACCTGTTTGTGTCCACAAAAGCAGCGGCATCTACCAAGTACGCACACAGCTGGGCAATGGTTGAGCCAGTATCTTGAGTCTAGGGCAAGATGCATTGAAACAGTAGGAGAGACTTACATGTACATGTAGTGTCACAATAACCCTTTTATGCACAATAACCCTTTTATGCACACTAAGCCTTTTAATCATTTGTAACGGACTTGCACAGTCTGATTCAGTTCCAAAATTGTATCAAAAATGCCTTTTAAAAATGAAATGAAATTTGCCTCTTTTTTAAAACATCATTTGTCCCAAGAGGCTCAACTGTAGCAACTTTTCCAAAATGAGCAACATGGCAGAACATTTCAACAGGCAGTAAAGTTTGCTCAGATTTGTTTTTGCTTTCGGCAAACTCAGAAAGAAAAAAGCAGATCTCGCAGTAGTTCTGAAGCACAAAGCAGGAAAGCTACATGCATATGAGGAAAGGCAAAATGGGTACAGGGAAACTAGGTCAAGGTTAATGGGAAAACTTTAACAAAGGAAAAATAGGTTATGACTCCATAGTGACTGTACACTCTAGTGACTGATAGATCTTTGATGCAAGAAACTCTTCCATGACACCATTTAAAAAAAAAAAAAAGATGAAGGTTCGACTTGTGACTTTTTGGGACTGATTTTGAGCTGAGTTTGCAAGGTGTGGCATTTCGGGATTCCTGATCTACATGTGTCTGAAAATGCACAATCTCAAACACAAAGGCTACATTCATGCAAGTTGATTTAAGGCGAAAAACAAAAAGGGAACCAGGGGAATCTCACATACAAAACATGCCGTTGGGCATTGCTTTATTCCAGCTTATTAGGGGCGTGCACCTTTTCAAAATGTTACGTCATGCATGCGTTGTACAAAATACGTACAGTATATGTGGGCTTCTTTATCATGTCACCTGAGCTGTTTTCCCTCAATTCCATGTTGTTAACAAACCTTGGCCCGCGTAGAAAAAAAGGGGCATTTTTACATCGGTTGAGGTAAATACATGTAAAACCTTGATATGTTGGTACCAAGTCTTATCAATTTAAAGGGGGGAAAAAGGGAAGAATTTGAAAATGGCCCTGCTTTTCAAGCGTTGAAATAGACCACTCTCATATTGCATATAACTTGTATGGGCAGCCAAAGTTTGCAGAAATATCACCTTTGGTTGGTTTTGGATTTTACCTCCAATTCGTTCAAAATAGACATTGTCTCAATGATTTTCAATAGGGTTGGATTTTCAATCATTATTTACTAGTACATGTATTATTATCTGGCGTTCTAATAGCTGCCTAGGAGTTTAACTCTTTGTGAATTAGCCGTTTACTTTTGTCCCGACGGCCAACTACAGTTTTAGCAGCCACTTGTAAGAAGAATGCGACTGTGACATCAAATGAGCAGACCCAATACTCACTAGTGCACACAGAGGGTCTACTCGGCAACTGCTAAAGGTCACAGAATTATCCACTTTTCCCTTTTTGACCTGCCTCTGGGTCCTGTCATTCCAGGATTCCAGATGTCAGTTTCTACTCCATTAAATGGAAACTAATTACCAAGTTTGGCTTTCATCCTTCAAAATGAGGAGAAAATAAATCTGTACCTAGCATTGCATAAAAGGGATTTGGCTGTGGAAATGTGCTAAGCTATTAGCTAAACCTTTGGCTTGTTATTTCCAATTCGCAGGCTGGAACCCTGTACAGTGGAGCGTCGCTATACCGAACACCGTTACACGTATACCAAACATTCAGCTGTCCCGAACATCGTCCTTGGCTCCCAATATTTTGCAAACAAAACCTATCAAACATTATGCAGTTGCAAATCAACTGAGATTCGCCACAGCATGCATCAGAGATCGATCCTGAGTGGAAGCTTCACGACTTTTAGGATAAACTACCAGTAAATATCAATTTTGAAACTTAAAATTTAATAACAAATAGAAATAATTAAGAGATACATTCTAGAAACCTCAAACGTGAAAGTGACAGCAAAACATCACGAAAACAGCAAATCATAGTATCACAAGAGGGTGCACTTCAGTTAGACAAGAGAGGGCGCTATTCAACACAGCAACGAATGTTCAGCAGTTAATTTCGCTATACTGAACACCCGCTGTACCAACATTTAGCGTGGACCCCGTGGTGTTCGTTATCGTGGCGTTTCATTGTATTCTATTTATAGTGTTTCATGATGACCCTTAGTATTCACAATTGATCACTGCAGCACTTACTTTTGGGTGAGTAGCGTAGAAGTCGATGTCGTCCACTAAAATGGCGTCTGGAGGTGCAGGGGAGGTGTGTATACTGGCAAGATACTCCAGCAGGGAAGACCGGTCCTGGTGGTACCTGAGGGGTGCGATGGACTCAGGCCATTAAGATTGGTTTCTTTCTTCTCTTTTTTTCTCCCAAAAATAGTTCGTAAATATGCAAATGGCAGGTGAATCTCATGTATATACCTATTCCCGAGTGAAACTTGGCAGAGTTGAAGATCGTTTTAACGCAACTCAACCCGAAAGTATTCGCATGCCAAGTTTCAAACAGATCACACTTGGGTGAGCTGAGATCTTGTGAGATGGTTTGGACCACCTCCCTTCCCCCTGGGTCTTGCAGGGTTGACATGTACATGTATGCATTCAATCTATGTTCTGATTTGTACATGAAGCTGACTGGGAGCAATAAATGACCTCACATTTTGTTTACATGTGCGCTTTCCAATGGCAGTGAGGTAGGCCATGATATATTGAGCTTCCATGGGCGAGTTACACGCTTTTCTGTGTTTTAGGTCAGCTGAAGTTGTGGCTCTGCAACTTTTGAATTGAATCAAATCCATCTTTGAATACAGAGCTGTACATGTACCAGCACAAAGGGAAACTATTCGAGATGCTTGCCAGGATTTTTTCCCCAGGGGTGGAAGGAGAGGGGAACCGATTTTTCCCGGGGAAAAAATTTCCAAGCGGGGAGGGGGCAAAGCACTCATCCGCAAAGAAAAGATAAACCATACATGGGGGGAGGAGTCAACATGAGGTTTTTCAAGTAAATTGGTGATTTTCATCCTTTTGTTTTTCCCTTTTTTCCAATTAAAAAAAGCACCTGTGATTTATGGGTACTACATGTACAGTCAATTTAGTCCATGGGTTTTATTGACTCGGGCAAAAGATTTAGTACCTGCTTTCTTTTCCATTTTTTCCACTTTGTTTCGTAATTTAATTTTGCTTTTACTTACAGAATGTGGACGTGCTTCATCAAGAGTGGATCAGGTGAGGGCGCTCCATGAACAGACAGCGGCAGGGACTGGAACCTTGCGTGGGAGACAAAGTCGACTTTCCGTCCCTCCAATGCACAGGTCACAGCACACTGGAACAGAAGGGAAGTCTTGCCACTGCAACCAATCGAACAATCGCATTACAAATCACAGCAATTTCATTTGGACACGTTAAACTGAGCTTTAAAAATCAAGCATGCAAAAGAAATATGTCAAAAAATGAAACCAAACGAAAGGTCACTGTGAGGTCACTGACAAAGTCCACAGGATGCTGGCGTCAACTCTTCGTGAAAAAATTGTCCTTTTCTTGGAGGAATATGGATGTAAATGTGGCTTTTTCTTTTAATTAGGAGATGTGTGAATTTCCCAAACATGATACCTCTACTTAGAGTGCATTTTCAAGTAGTTGATACTTCAAGTACTAATTAGACACTGTGGTCATGTTTACTTCAGTGTGTATGGGTGTGCAGGCATGCCACAGTGTGGACCTCTGCTCACAAGAAGTCCCACATAATGTAGGGTGCGATGGCATTGTGAGGACTCGCACACGTCCACACAATGTTCCCCCCTCTCTGAAAAACAGTTTCAGAGGCATTTTGGGATGAAGGTTATCTGTGGCAAAATAAAGAGGAACAGTCCAGGGAATCACCATCACACATCAAGCTCAAAGGAGTTATTCTAGTGAGAGAAAAAGGAGCATTTTCCTCAAGTTTCCTTAACCAAAGGACAACAAAGGAAAGTCCACACTTTGTATGTAAAACAGTTATTCATGTGTGTGTGTGGTTATTCAACAGAGTGTCCTATGAGTCCACAAACACACAAAGCCCATTTTAATGAGATTTAGGGTGAAGAAACCCCTCCAGCTCACATGTACCAAGAAGGGATGTAGTGCCGGCACAACATTTTGCAGCTCAAATATTTGTGATGGCAGAGTAAAAGTTGGCATAATCGAAACAGCCAGAAGCTTAAATGCAGAAAACCTGGTCATCCCCTCATGATCTGCCTGGTAGCCCAGCTACAAGGTCAAAATGTCACACTGTTCTCATGGGGATTTCCACCTTGTTCTGACATAACCACTGATTTCACGGTTGTTATTTTCCAGTGGTGGGGGTGTTGTGCAACTACATGTACTCCCAGCCAAAACTGTGATTATGCAACCAGTACATGTCTATCTGTAATGTTTGTAAAAACCTTACCGTTCCTAGATGGAAGATCAGTTTGTATGACTTTTGTGGAAAAGATTTGAGAAAGTGGAATTTTTGATGGAAGTGAACATACCCCGATCAGCATGAAAACCCTAACAGTCCTAGATCCTCCAATTTCCATATGATTTTACATACACCCTAGGGGGTTAGGGTTTATTAATCTCATCTAATGGGCTGCATTAAAAAATGCACAGCATTACCAACTCATAAACAGTCACTGTACAGTACATGTACTTATACAGGGCTGAGTAAGGCACAGGTTGTGCCCTATTGTTGATGTATCCCAACTTGGTGTGGCCCCTAATGTGCGCACTTTTATTTTATGCTTGTGTTTTTACTGCAGCAATATTTTAAGCTCAAAAGTCACAATTAGTGATACTTCATCGAACTCCACTATTTTGATTCAGAAATCTTGATTTTACTTACACTGTATCTACTACAAAGTTTGGATGAAATTTATTTTCGCTTGAATTTTCAATTTTTGGGTCATGCGCAATGAACTCTTTTAAAGTGTGCCCAAAAATAGGAAATGAATGTTCAACTAATTTGTGGATGGGTGTCTGAATGGAAGGAACCAAATTGTCACCTACAGAACCAGACCCAAATCACCAATACTGATGAATAAGCAAAATGGGGCTCATTTTGGAAGTCCCCACTTTTTTTTGGGGGGGGGGGTTTAGTCATGGGGTCAAGGATACTCAGTTTCGTCCAGTAGAATGGCCCCAGTCTGGGGCGAAGTGGAAGAAATGCTTTTCAAGAATATATCAGCTTCACAGGTTTTTGTGAATGCTTACATGTAAGTGGGTTTTTTGAGATTTTTATCCAGATAAGGGAAGGCTCGGCTGAAATCAAGCCCAATTTCCGGACACTAACAGTTCTGGATTTCGAACGAGTTACAGTAAGGCATTACTTTTTCTTCTTTCAAACAAATCCTAATTAGCCTTTATTTTAAACAATTGGTCTGAGTACTATGAACGAAACTCCTTCTACGTGTATTTCTGGAAAAAAAAAATCGCAGCAAACAGTGCTGACATCCACGCCCGTCAGCAACAGAAATCTTGAAATAGGCCTACATGTATAAGATGCGCAGTGTTTTTCAGGCTCTGTAGTTTTTGTACAGTTGGCGAAAGTCAATTCAAGTCGTCATTCAGTGTACATGTACATGTTGATATTGGACATCCAACACCAATCATGAGTGAACAGTGCTCATTCATCCATTTTCTAGACAGTTTACAATGGTTCATTTTGTATTCAATCTCTACAATAAAACTTCACGCTCTGCTCACATTTTTTCCTAAATACTCACTGGAAAAGCTTTTTAACAAGTAGGGCTGTGCTGAATATCCAAATAACCGAATATTCGATCGATTGTCAAATATTCAAATATTATTTTTTAAAATTGAATATTCGAATGCAAAATTCATGAAAAGTAAGGGAAAATTTTCTTTTGTTTCAAATGAGAACCGTTGCACTATGGAGGCTTGTTCAAAGCAGATTCAGATGAAAAGCGTCAGAAATCTTACAATGATTTTAAAAGTAAATTATTCATTAAATAATTGAAAAGGAATAGAAATTTTCAACAGGGCAAGAAGTCTTGTTCATCTCTTAAAATCTTGCTAAATCGTGGCTGGAGATACTCCTAGATATGAGAAGCTATTATATTAATCATAATGTACAATTGTGTGTGTTACTGCAACTGATTTTGTATATATGGTTTGTTCATCAACAATCTGCCGGTCGGTACGACTGAATATTCGATCAAATTGAAGGTCGAATATTCAAATAGTCAATTATTCGAATTGACTCAGCCCTAATTTTGAATAAAATGTTTCAGGTCTACTGTTTAATGAGATGGTTATAACTCTCCTGACTTCAAACTCTGAAAGTAGACTTTTTAACAATATGGGTATTTCACAATAGTGCGCCACCAAGAGTTTGCAACGCGTTGGCCAATCACAGTGCGCGAAATCTGTCGACATAATGCGCGTTTGGAAAGAGTCCACAGATTTCGTGCATTGTGATTGGCCAACGCATTGTGAACTCTTGAAACATCCCTTCCACGTGACGTGTGAAATAAGAGATGAGCTATAGTTGGCGGACGTCATCAGCACACCATTCACCTAACAGAAATTTTTCTTTCATTCGAGAGCGAAAGGAAAGTGAATAGAAAGAGATGGGAGCCACATTGTAATTGGTGAAGCTGCTACACTGCTGACAACGGTGACCTTTCAATTGACAAGACTGGGTGAGCTAGGCAGGCAGTCAGGCAAATTCTCATAAATTTCCCCGTTTTAAACTGTATAATGTAAATGAACCCCCCTCCATCCCATACAAAACTGTGTCCTGGGAGACGTCATGAAATCACTTGGGAAAAATTGGTGTAGAAATTTCAGACAAACGATGTCGGGTATTCCTTTTTACTGTACATTGCTATCTGTAAGGTTTGCATTAACCTTAGACTTCTGGAAGTAGGGAGGGGGGTTAGCATCTGTATTTGCTTTCATTACATGACCACTATCAGGACACAACACACAACATGCGCTGTGCTATGTAGCTGTGACAGATTGTGGAACTTCAAAATCTCCCCCACCACCGAATATTGTCGAACCAAGATGCAGAGCAAACGTGGTCATTGGTGGGCTCGACGCATGTACAATCTGTTCAACACAAACGGCATGAACGGAGCGACTGTCAGCGGGTGGAAGCGAGAAATTGAGCAAAAATCTCATTTTTTTCAAAAATACTCCTCGTACTCTAAAGCCTTGTAAGGGGGCCTAACCACTTGCCGCCAGGGATTCCAGTTTTGGACATGCATTCTTTATACGCGAGGCCGGGGTCTCCGAAATCGCACTAAGGGAATTGGGCCTTGTATAAAAAGACCAGGCTGCTGGGAATTTTTTCACTCTCAATAGTGGAGATAATCAAGCCTTCTTTGAAACAGTGTACCACGGGGCATTCGCTTGACTTCTGACACACGAAGTGCTGCCTTCGTTTTTCAAAATGGCGCCGCCCGTGGTCAGCATGTAATACTACAGGTAGGGTTTTTCAAGGTGCAACACATCGGCAACTTTACAATTTTGGAAAGCTTTAGGGTGCTCGTATGAAAGTCCAAACTCTGAGGAGTATGCCAGTGTAAGTAAAATTCTTGAGTCATTCTCATTTCGGAAAATATATAATAATAAAGGCAACATTTTTTTCCTCCAAACAAGGAAAAGGAGAGTTTTCTACAATTAGCAACCTAGTGGTGGATTTTTACAGCGTTAAGTAGTGAACATACATATTACATGTAGGCCTACCGGTGTAATTTCAGCAAGCTCATAAAATTAAGCCGATGTTTAGTTATGCCCCCGGATGTCCCAGATAAAGTTTTCGAAAGAAATCCCTATTGATCGGGGCAGGGCCCAGTATACAACAGAAGACTATTCGTTGGGCCCTGTTTACGCGTCTAGACACCGGCCTCCATACATTTATCGTCATGATGATCGTTGAACTTGAAGAAGGAAGAACTGGCCTACCTTTCTCGCTTGCCTGTGAGCAAGCACCTACATGCCTTGAGCGGCATATGAATCCCAAATATTGTACTGCGAAGCTCATACTCTGTCTCGTTTTCTTCTGAGACCATTTTTAGGACTGGAAGCTGAACAGAGGGGAATATTTTGGCTACGGGAACGTGCACGGCCATTCTGAACGTTACCGCGAAATGACAGCAAGGAGAGAGCGCCCTCACTCCACAATTTTTCCTCCGAGAAAATGCCATGAAGCAGAGGGCGCCCTACAAATGCACAGACCACCAGTCTTGCGCGGAAAACCGTGATTTTCAAAATGAAAGCGTTGGCAAAAAGTGGGAAGGGCGAAGCGATAGATGTCAGCGCGTTCAGTACGTATTACGCACGAAATAAATACATTGCCTGTATTTATTTACAGTTGCTCCCAAAATACGTTCACTTTTTTGTCCTTTGCCATTACGTCTTCTTTTCAAATGTTGCAACCGCATTGTTTTGAATCTACATGGGCCAGAACTAAATAGGGAATTTTTCTTTTCTTTTTTTTAACAATCTGAAAAAAACGGGCGAGGAAATATGGCACTTGGTTCTCAACTCCAACTGGAATGTTTATTAACTAAGGATCTGCAAGGTTCAGTTCACATAAAGGTCGTTTGGTGCAGTGGTGACCAAAGTGGGAATGTAGTAACCATGGAAACCAAGTGACCAGCGATAACTATGGTAGGCCTAACTGGGCAGCCCATGTAAACTGGAAAAACTCTGGTAGCCCGTGACCCGTGAAACTGTCACCCGTGTCCCGTGTCTCGTGGTTCTACAAAATATAAGAACAGGAATAATTTCTGAAAGGTAATTGGCATGGGGCCTTAATAGTTATGTGTGAGCGGAGGTAAATGGAATAAAATACAAACTTGAACTGGTTAAACACTATGCAAACTATACTGTAACTTACACTTAGGTTTTTATGGATAACTTTGATTCTGCTGGAGACGAAAAGGACCCTAAAATCCTCCAAATTATAAAGGAACTAGCTCACTTACTTTTAAGATTCACGCACGGGGTTGGTCTGGGATAATTTGCGGTTAAGTAGGCTGGTTTGGGAGTCACAGTTAACCTTGGGATTTGGAGAAATTTAGGTGGGAAAATGAAGTGTGAATTTGGCAAAATAATCACATTTGAGAGAATGACTGGCTGGTGATTAGATATACAAAATATTGAGGGCGCTATTGATTGAAACCGTTCGGCTATTAACTTATAACTAGGTGAATCGACAGAGGGCGCCGTTCAAAGTCTCACTGTCTGTCGCTGCTTTCTAACACAATCAGAAATGGCTTTATAGAATTTCGGCTGGAATTCTTGAACTATGCGTAAATTCCCTTTCAGCTCCGAAAGGGAGCAACAGAGGGCGTGTTTTAAATGAAATTTGCAGTCCTTCTGCTACAAAGTCACCGCATAGGCGCGCAAGTTTATGCTATTTCGACCCGCAGCACGCGGAGTACGCACAGTGAATTTATTCTGAAAAGTATGGTTTTCACGTGCAACAAGAATCCGGTTGGACAACTAAGCACCATCTATCTAGGTGAGGGGTGAATTTGCCCATAGGGCCTAGTTTCGATTTTAGTCGGGCGCCACACAGATCACGAAATGTTCAATTTGAATGCAATCTGGCGGTCTACGGTTGCACAAAACCAAAAAATGCGTTTATATGCCCGTGGGCTGCACACAGAGACATATATATTCAGCATGTTCAGATGGTACGGTTGATGTTCGGTTATTCCCGGCCGGCTAGGTAGGTTAGGTGTTGAACGTAAACTCCCATGTCCTGATGGCAACTGTTAATCCTTCGACTTAATATCTGACTTTATACAATGAAATGAAGCCAAGCGATGGCTGGTGGTAAACTGAGTTAAGCAAAAGAGGGACACGCACTCCCGAAGGTTGTCAGCGCGTTCGGCCGTCGAGGTGATAGTGCCCTTGTAGACTAGAGTACTAGGGTTTCGCAAGTTACTTATAGGTTTAGTTGGGAAGAACAGACTGTGGCTAAATACAACGAATGGAGCTACACAGACCACCACAAGCGGCTGTAGCCACGTCCAATTAGACACTCTTTGACTGCATCCCGGCCTAGGTTAAAACTTTCAGGGGCTATTCTTGTCAAAAAAAAGTATGGGCAAGTTCGAGCGCGAACTATAGCTCGACCGGTGGTTAAAGGCTTTTTAATGATCATCCAGTAAGGCGCAAGTCATCCATTCATTTACATTTGTTTTGAACAAAAACAAACGTGAACATGAATACTGTATGGCAGCAACGTGGGACAGGTTTTTGTTCCCTGCAAAAAAAGAGCCAGAAACAGAAAACAACTCTCACGAGTTTCTTTGACAGCCATTTTTAAATCGATACTTCGGCAAAATGTTTTTGCTAGCGACAAAAAAGGGCATCAACTCCACAGATATCACAACGCCATCGACAAATTATGAATGTTAAGTGTGACTGTCATGCTCGTCGCCACTGCATTAATAATACCCCGCCCCTAAGCTTCCACTACCCAGGTACCGGGTATCTTTTGCTATGTAAGGTTTCGGCAGGGTTCCAGCACAGACATATAAACGTTTATGTCTTTTGGTTCCAGTCAGAGAAAGTAACTGTCACAGCGCCACCAAGCATTGCAAATGCCGAGAAGGAGCAGACATGTCCATGTAATAATAATGACATGTAATAATAGATAGAGCTGATAAATAACAATGGATGACGTACAACAGTTCGAGGGGTTTACGTCAAACTTTTCTCCTGAGTGGTAAGTCCAATATTTTGGTGTACATGTTTAATCCAAACACTGCCTCACCGCGTAACGAAGGACATTTTGAGGAGTGGCGAAGAATTCTTTTCTCTCTACTCGCTGCGTGTGTCTATCCTGAACTTGAGGTATCACGCTCAGCATCGGTGACGCTGGGGTTGGCAAACCATACTTCATGCCGATCCCCGTACTGTTCGCCTTGGAGCCTGTTTGGGGTTCAATTTATTAATTTGTTTGTTTACGAAGCCAATTTGTACTCTTGGCACAGTTCTTGGCATTGTTTGAACGAGGGAAGTCCTTTGGACAGGTCCTCCCGGGAAGCTGGCTCCTGGGTTGCCGGGTTATTGTGGGGGGTTCCGATCAATCTCACAGACGGAGTTCGCCTGTGTACAGGGCGCGAAGGCCCACTGGTTAGTACGGGTGTGCTTCAACACGCAGTTCCCTTTCCGGCCCGCGCCCCTGAGGTGGGTCAATGCGTTAATTAACTAATTAAAAAATCCAGTTTTTCTTTAATTCCAATTTAAAAATTGACATGAAAAGTGTCGTATGATTTTTTACATAAAATACAGTCGACGAGAGATCCAATCAGCGTGTCCTTCATGTCTTGCGTCCTTATTTTTGCAGCATCTAACAAATAATTCTATAGATTTTTGCATGTTCTGCAATATTAATCAGAAACATGGCAACTGAATACAGCTTGTTACAGATCATGGCATTTAGCTTGTTTTTAACTGTGTAGACTTTAAAATTTTATCTGGACTGGCTAACTAAAATAACATTTACAAAAGAGATACAAAAAGCACAAAATGTAATGAACTAAAGAGGTAAAATACTATTTTGATCTGAACCAGGCAGCCTGAAACCAAGTTATCGAATCCCACATTTGTGAACGATTACATTGTAACTGCCCCCTTATTCTTCACCTTAATTGGTTCTCGGCTGCTAGGTATGTCTATTTGTACGATTATTTGAGGGTACCGCTTTAGCCTAGCACTGACTCGCCCGCCTGCAGTGGTGGTCGACCTGAGCAGATCAGTATTCCTGAGAACATAGTTGTGCGCAAGCGCGGGAAAGAAGCCCTGTACTCGAGTGTGAGTTTGGCATAGTAATGTACATAACTGAGACATAAATCACCGTACTGATCGCTCATCAAAGAGCCACACTGGAAATTAGTCGATTTTCACGATAATACATTTTGAACCTTGAAAGGATCAGTAATTCACACTCATTATAATTTCTTAATGTTGCTGTGCTGCGGAGCATAGTTGTAACGTAGGTGAAGCGCCTTTGTGAAGGCGCATATGAATATAAAAGTGTGGCCCCGTGTACGTATCAAGTGTATCTGTCCCCTTGTTACTGTCCCCGTTCGTCGAGGCTGCTGTGCTGCGGGCCTGGCGGTAAACTGCCGCCAACATGGATCGGCGTCACCGGCCTTC